CCAAGGAAGAAAGGGCCACTCGACTATTTAAAAATAAAAACAAAAAACAAAAAACAAGAACAGATTGACCAGAACAGACCAGACAAAATAAAACTTCCTTTGGGCGATACCCCACCAATCTAGCACAATTTTAGCTTGGGCGGACAGTTATCCCCCATTCTCAACTTCTCCAACTACACCTCATTGATGGCCGGCTCGTCTCCCGGCCATTACAAACCCCATCCAAAGCCACCTCGTATCACATATTGTTTCTCTTTCAAGGACTCTTTATAATGTAATATTACTTTCTAAGGATGCACATTGCAGCTTTGTTTTGTTATCTATTGTACAAAGATTGAGACAAAGATGTAAAGGAAAAAATAAATATTAAAGGGTTCCTTTTTTGTTGACAACACAGAAAAAAGAAAAAAAAAAAACGAAGGACAAATTGTGATTCTTAAGTGGGGAGAGAGGGGGTGAGGAGGGAAGAGTAGTCCGAAGCCAAAGAAGAGAATGAAAACGAGAGAGGTTTGTTAAGTTCGATATCCGATATACGCTGCCGCAAGGCAGTACGACCGCTCTGACCAAAGCAAGCTGTGCAGCAACGATTGATAGCACTTCAAACAGCGTGTGTCCCAACCGCTTGAATCATCCGGCCTCTCAGCCTTCGGATTCCAGTAGCAGTCCCACCGTTACTGCCAACTTGAATTTGCTGATAAAGCACAAAGCATTTGTGTCGTCGATGATGAGCAAACCAAATTCTTTGCAATCATTTCACTCCAATGCTCTCCATCCGCTATACCTATTGCCACCAGATCCTGTCATTACTTCCAAGAGTAGGCTGCAGAGCTCGCAAAGTTTTGTTGACTGAGTTTATTCAGATTTGACTCATGAATCTATGTAGTGGATCAATCGTCCCAAGTCATAGTAATCCTCCTATTAAATATTTGTATTCAGAACATCAATCATACAGACAACAACTTCCAAGTAGTGTTTTTCTCCGTTGGCTTCAAACCCTCATCCATCACGCAATCAATCACCACTCCTCGCCATACCCATCGTTTTTTCTTTTTTTGGCGATCCCCATGAGTATTCTGATGTTCATAGCATTTTTTTGGATTACCTTTTGGCTTTCTGTTTTATTACATTAATATTATTCTTATCATGATCATCGCTTCTACAATCTGAATAGTTACAGGAAACTCTTCTTTGAAACTGGGTCAAGCCACATTGTAGGTGTCAATCCCATCGAGCAGTGGTAGACAAATACAGTCTCGATGGCATTCAAATATTTCTACAAAGTTTTGGTGAGTGCTTGCTGTCGTTTTGAGGGGGCTAGTGTCGTTGCATGTTCAACTTCGATTTGCTCGCGCGACATCTGAATCTGGTGGGAAACGTCAGGTGACGCTGCGGGCCGCAGCGACAGCTATTTGTCCGTAGTGTCTCTTGCAAGTAGCACCGAATTACATCCATACACCAAATTTGCACTTTGGAGCAAGCCATTTCACACCTCTTTTGATGATCAAGTGCATTTTTGGAGCTTTTTCTGACCATCACTACCCTGCACTTTTGGAGCGTTTTTTGACGATCGACCACACTTTTGGAGTGATTTTCGACCATCGACCGCATTTTCAGAGTGTTTTTCGACCATTGACCGAGCTTTTGAAGCTTTTTTCAACCATGGACCACTGGCTCCAATCAGGAATTGTAACTCAAAGTGTCCAATGGACACACTAAAAACCGTCATCCATCGGACACTCTTGGTTGGAGAGTGTCCGATGGAAAATAGATCATAGCGTCCATTGGACGCTTCATATTTGGCCAGCGTCACTTGGATGCTTTTGGACGCATCCAAGTGATGCTGGCTCGCCAGAGCGTCCCTCGGACGCTCGGATTGCATCCGTTGGACGCTCTCCTCAGGAAAGCGTCCAGCGGATGGGGCCAGTTTCAAAAAACTCGCCCCGTGGTGTAGCTACCCGCAAAACCACTAAATTCAGCAACCACAAACCTGTAATCAAACTTTTAGTTGACTAACCCATCGTTAACCTTGCATCAATGTGAGTGCACAAACAGGCAATTGGTTGGGTTAACTTGGCTTGACCCAGTAATTCAACTTGAGGTTGAATGATTAGCTCCAGCAGATAAGCTTCTGCATGCAGCCCTTCCTTCTAAACTAACCAACTTTTAGTCAATCAGAAGTCCTCAGCTAATGGAGGACTTCCCGTCGACATCTGCGGGTCTCCCAGTTTCGATTTAGAGCCGAAAAAGCTGGATTTCCCTGCAAAAATCTAGACTTTTTGGGTCTAAATCGGAAACTGCGAGGGTCCCAGATCCCACGGGAAGTCCTCCAATATCTGATCATTGAAGCAGTTTTAGAAAAGAGCAAGTCTTTCAAGGGAGTTGATTTTTTCTGTTTGGCCACACTACGTGTGTATGTTGGAAGTTCTTGTGACATCTGGCAAGGTTTTTGGTGGACCTGATCAGATGTCACATAGTGCCATGAGTTGTGTGAGATGGTGAGATTGAATCAGATTGTAGATGTT